TCCACCAAAAAAAAACTTTCTTCATGATGAATAATTTAGTATCCACTGTTTTTTGAAAACTCTTATTTTAAGATTAAAAATTCTCTCCTACGAAAACCCTCTATCAAAAATAAAACCCCCTATCCCACCACCAAAAAAACCCTTCTTCCTTAAATGTTTAAATTAAAACAGTAAATTTGCAAATTTTATATTTGAACATTGTATTCTGAAAATAACTAATGTATATTTATTACGGTCAATTCTTTCCTAAAAAGTAAAGGTAAAAATAAAAGGAGAAGATAAAAATTAGGCTGGCAACAAATTTCACATTTCAACAGAAAAAAAAAAAAAAAAAGAATAAAATGGAGTGCTTCATCATAATATATAAATGGAGTCAAGTTTCGTCTCAGCAAAAGCAAAGAAAGGGAGGAAGAAGAACATATATTCACTCTGCGAATTTGGATAGTGAGAGAAAGGAAAATGGAGACTCTACGCCAAATTCGAGCTAAGAATTCATATTTTCTTCTTCTTTCCCTTCTATGGATCACTCTTCTCTCTTCATCCATATCCGCAACTTCACCTCTTTCTCAGTCAGATCAGGTTTTTTTTTTTCACTTTTTCAGCTGCAGTTTTTTTCGTGTTCAACGAACAATTTGTTTCTCTATATGATTAGCGTTCTGGCTTAGATCGAAAAGGATGAATTTCTTTTCATGATGTTTTTTTTTTGTTTTGAACTCTTATTTATGTTAGGTTTTAAATGCAGAATTAACGGAATTTGGGTTTATGTATGTTTCTGTTACCGGTTATCTTGTAATTATTGAACTAAATTAACCTTGCGATAGCTGTGATTTTGGTTTTGGCTTTAGCTGAATATTAGTAATGCGTGATTTGAATTACTAGCAATCATCAGTGATGACCTATTTTATTTGTCTTGTTTTGAATCTGTTTGCGTTTAGAAATCACTTCTTGGAGCTGGTAATTTTCCTGGCTGACCACATTCAATTTTTTGTGCATAGGGTACAGAGCAGCATGCGACAAGGTAAGGTTTTATTTCGGATTATAGTTGTAGCTCGTATTGTTTCCTATTCCGAAATTGTACCTTTGAAAATAAATTTAAGAAGCCTCTTAACAGTACATTTGAAGATATTTTCTGAGGCAATAAGTTGTATCATAGTTCTCTATCAGAAAATGAAAAAGAGAAGTTGTATCATGGTTAAATCTTCTTGTTTTTCCTCCGCCTTTTCAGGCCTTATGTTCCTTTTCAGCACGATACTGTATGAGATAAATTCTAGATTTCAACTGTACTATTAAAACATGTTTGAAAGCAATCCATTTTAGATGTGCCATTCCCTTGAAGTTGTCACTTATCTGAATTATTTTCTTTGCTGCTCTGAAGTCCCGCACAAGACAAATCACAAGTTCACGAAGTTCATTGCTCCAGAGAGAGAAGCCGGGCTGCCTGGAAAGTTGTTGAGGAGGTATCTGCAAAAGTACTTCATTTGACTCAACTTAAGCTCTGCTGCAAATACGGGACTGAAAATTGCATTTTTACTCTATCTGTGCTGTGCAGTACTTAATGCCCTTTGTAGAAAAAGAGAAGTATGAGCTTCCTAGGCAGTGTAGACTTCATCCAAGTAATGATCTTTTCAGAGATCAGGAGGAACATAAAATTCATCTTGATGTGAATGAATGGCGCTGTGGATACTGCAGAAAAAGCTTTCGGGCTGAAAAATTTCTTGATCAGCATTTTGACAACAGGCATTCCAATCTTCTAGACGTTGTAAGCATCATATACTATTCATGTTTTTGTTCACTCCAAATTTTAATTCATTTCATATGATTTATGCAAAAAAATAATTCTTGACACTGGAGTGAGAAAACCAGCCTTGATGCACTCGTGTAGAATAGTTCATAACGTGTTAATAAGTGATAGTTCGATTGGCCCTAATATGTCTTGAATTATATGAATAAGATTATCAAATTGATAGGGGATCTCTGGCTTACTGCTCTTTATATTGCACACGATGTTGGGAGTCTGTGAGATGCTGGTTGGTTGCCTCATCTTGTCTGTGTTATTAATAGTGTAGGTCTAAGGGGATGGAGATGAATTTTCAAGAATAAGGTGACAAACTACAGTCCGCAAACGATTGTTTTTATTAAGAGCTATATGGGGATTTCTCAAAAGATCTATTTGGGGATTTAGGGAATCCATTTTGCAGCCCTTCCTTTTCTCAGAGAAGTACTGACAACCCGAATCTAGTTTTCCTAAAAAACTTGTCCAAACAAGTAGAAATAGAACTTAAGTTCAACTAAGCTTATTTCCCCTCTTTTATTATTTTTCTGCATCTTCGGTTTGAGGGTCAATTCTAGTTTCAGGATGAATCCAGAGTTGTATCTTTCTCTTCTTTCACCACCCTTTCTCATACCTGTTCTGTCTGGACTCAGTAGCTTATCATAATTTACCAGCATCTAAGTCTTTGTTCCATGGAGGTGATTGCCAAGTATAAATTAATGAGGTTTATAAATACCTCAAAAAATGGGGGGGGGGGGGTGGGTGTAAATCCCTATATGATGTCACATACATTTGGGTAGCGTGTGATCTATTGTAGAAGCTAAAGTAAAATTTTTATGCTGAATGTTGCATTCTATATTCAGAGTTGAGCAATATATTTTGTAGGATGAGATATTTTTGGAGGTTGAGATCACACCATGCTTTCATTTTAAGTTCCTTGCCTGTTATTTTAAATCAAAAGCTTGTAGCTCCCTTTGGTGAGAACATATGTTCATCAATGGTCGATAGGATCTTCCTACCACTAATATCAACCTAAGTAGTTATTTTAGCAAGTTTCCTGGTGTCATGGTAACTCTTCTAGATGGGTCCAGCACATTCATCAAGTACGTTTGCAACTCTTGTTCAAAGAAAAAGATTCTGGTTTCAGTTTATAGCAAGAATCTTTTTGAACTAGCCACTTCTTTCATCATGGCTGGCTTGTTATCAGTGAATACTTTGAACTTATCTATTACAGAAACTGATTTCATCATAGTATTCAAAAACCAAGTGGAAGTAGGCTGATCACATTATTCTTTCTGGTAATTTTATTTCACAAGATTCATAACTTGGTCCAGGTCGGGCCACTGACGAGTGTGTCAGGAAGTTAGAGTATTCTATTATTTACCATGCTTTGATTTTTGAATTAGAATAATGTTTTATAAGGTATGAAGTAATCTTAGCATATGATCTCATGTCTCAGGGTCACAGCAAATGCCTGGCAGATGTATGTGGAGCTTTGCATTGTGACCTTGTGATGGAAATCAAATCCAAGAAGACCAAGTGTAATCCTGCGGCAGCAGCACGAAATCGTCATTTATGTGAGGTTACCTTCTGAACTTAAGCCTATATGTCAGATTAACTTGCCAATTCTACTGATTTCTCTTTGATATCAAGTCCATTGTTTCCCCTTCCTTGCAGGGTCTTGCAGACAAATGTTTTCCTGCTAATCAGAGTCCATCGTCAACTCGTCTTCATGGTACGCTTTCTCCATAGTGTTAGAATCTGAAGTAATTAAATAGTTGCTTCTACTTGTGATGATCTTTGGTTGGTTTGATGTCAGAACTATTCTTACGCCAATTCTGTGATGCTCACGCTTGCTCGGGGGGTGGAAAACCATTTTCTAGAGGAGGAAAGGTATGGTTTGATTACTGAAATGCCTTAATTATGTGCCTTCTGTTAAATCTAAATAAAAGTTGTATGACGGATTTATGGACTTTTGATCTATCTTGGGTATAACTTCATACGATACTCTACTGAGATGTAAATCTTGTCCAGCAATTTTGCAAGGCACTTTCTTTACTTGTTCAAGTGGATATTTTCTCTACATTTTGTAATATTTTCAACTTTTATGCATGTGACATTATATTTGCAGAAGCATATAAATCGGTTCTACTTGGCAGCTTCAGTATTGACGTTGATGCTGCTCCCTCTATTTTACCTTATTGTCTATTTGTACCAAAGGTACTGCCTCAAAACTTTGAATCACCTAGCCTCCATCAAAATTTGCATTAAAATAATTACTTCTTCATCTGCAGTGAAATCAAAAGGGGAACTCAAGAACTTAAGCGCATAGCAAAAGTTGGAAGAAAAGCAAAACCTTCTTAGCTGTGTACAGTGGTGATACTCTTTTTGGGTGAGGATATTTATCTATCTTGTTTAACTCATGTTGGAAAGAAATGGTTCCTTTGTCGTAATGCATGCTACACCAGTTTATGAAATGTATTTCATAGTGAGCCGAAACATTTGCATCATGAAGGGATGCTAATGGATTGACATTGTTCATCTTCTTGTCTGTTGTAGGCATTTCTTGGTGACGGTTCATTTACCATTGCTGGATGATCCGAGATCCGAGGCAGAAGTCAATACATTTCCTCCGTCAGCATGGTACAATGCATCTGGGCATTTATCTCTTGTCAGCCTGGATCAACCGATATCATTGAAGCAGAAGCTAAATTCTTACTCTGTTGTATCAATTCTCAGACCCAGAGAATAGTTCTCTTGAGAAGACAATCACAATCTCTTTTCTCTTTATGAATTGTACATTGGGAGAACATGAAATCTTCATGTTGTATGTTTCTTTGGGTAATCTGAAAAGTTCAATTCTTGGGGTGTGTTGACCTTGCATTGTTATGACTGATAAGTGGTAAGCTCGGAAAAGTGTTAGCAAATGGAAAGACAAGTCAGTCAATGGCAGCATTCCTTTTAACATTTTTCTTGTATGCTTGTTGTCCAACCTATAATTGGTGTTACATGGAAGACATAGGAGATTAATTCAAAATAATGATATAGAAAACACTAAAGCATTTGCTATGTCATTTGTTTTTGGTGCAAGGAGAGAATATCATGTGTAATAGCAGGACAAGCTCAATAGACGACTGTGGACGACTTCAATTGAGTCATACAAAATTTGTACATATTTTTGGATACCAAGTCGATATTTATGAAGAAATCTTGACTCGTAAACAAAGGATTTCGATTAAACAGTTGGGGTCAGATAACCAAGTTACATTTACTGCTGTCTTAAATATGCTTTGCAACAGAAACCTTCCACTCTCTCCAATGTTTTGTTCAGCAGTGTATACACACTCGCCTTTGCTCTTTTGAGGTTCCACCAGTTCACATGTCGATAGATCTTACACAAACCAACTGATGACATCCAAGTATTGGGAGCTTCTTGCCTTTAACCACCAGCATTGCTAACAGAACAGTCTCTTCTGAGCCATCCAGGTTGAAACTTATGGAGCTAACACATTGAACGCGAGGGATATTAACTCATTAGATAATAAGAAACCATCAGGGTCACTAAGCCTGATATATGCCAACACCTCATTGATCTTGTTCCCTTCAGATAACAAAGAGCTGAATTCTTCTGGGGAGATTTCCCTCCTTTGCTCATCCAAGCAGACAACATGCCCACTCTCAATATGAGGCTTATAGACCTCACAGAGGGAGAGAATAGTCGAGCTGCCAAAAGCTTTGCCAAATGACTTCAAATCCAACCCTCGAGCAGTTCTCAAAGACAGCATAACAACATCCATTGCTATGTCTTGGGCATCTACTTTACTGTCCTGGGAACAATTCACTAGTCCATTCTCCAGATTTTGCACATAACCCATGTAATCTTTCAGCTTCCTCGGCCTTGAAAACCTTAGTCCATTAAGATAACTGGCTGACCCAAGTCCAAAAGCATAAAAAGGTTTGTTTATCCAGTATGTGTAATTGTGCTTGCATTGATAACCACTTTTGCAGTAGCTACTTATCTCATAGTGCTCATAACCAGCATCTCTTAGCATTTCAGAGGCCGTTCTGTACAAATCAGCAGCTTGGTTTTCAGAAGGCAGAGGGAATTCCCAGCTGTATACCTGTGGATACAACAATTTCAGTTCAACAGTTGAATGTGCAAGTGTATCACTACGAACGTGCTCTTTTAGATGTGAAAAATGTAGGATATTCTTCCCTATACTTAAACAATATTGAAGTTTCATCTTTACAGCTGAAATACCCCTTGTGATAGAAGCTATGGAGAAATTCTCAATAAAAAAGCATAATATCAAGTCACTGAAATTTACGGATAAAAGATGCCTCAATAACAACAACAACACACCCAGTGTAATCCTACAAATGAAGTACGGGGAAGGTAAAGTGTAAATAAACCTTACCCCTACTTTGAGAAAGATAGAGAGTTTTGTTTCTAATAGACCCTCAGCTCAAAGAAAGATGTAAAAGAAAGCGGTAGCAACAAGCAGACACAACATCAAGATAGTAGAATAACGAGACTAAAGAAACAACGAGTAGTGATAAAAATCTAAGAATACGAAAACACAATAATAAAACTAATACTCCCGGATAAAAGATGCCTCAATCCCAAATCAATTTGAAAAGTAGCTGAAAAGAGAAACTTGAAAAACATATCAATTTGAAAAGTAGCTGAAAAGAGACTTGAAAAACATATCAATTTGAAAATTAGCTGAAAAGAGAGACTTGAAAAACATGCTGGCAAAGGAAAATCTCAATTTAGCAAGTGAAGATTCAAGGTTGTTTTACTTACAAAGATGCAAACTTTGTATCTTGCTCAACTTGTAAATCGTAAACTGACACATGTGTCGGCTTTGCTTGAATAGTGAGGCTCAAGCTTTGTTCCCACATATGTGGTTTCTGATGAGGAAGTGAAGATATAAGGTCCACACTCCAATTCTCAACATTACATGATCCAACAATGTCAATAGCTTCATGAATTTCCTGTACACCGTGCGCTCTCCACAACTCCTAAGCAACTCCTCCTGGAATGCTTGAACTCCTAGCGACACTCTATTAACTCCCAACTTCATCAAATCTTTCAATTTTTTAGCATCAAATGTACCAGGATCCATTTCTATTGAAATTTCAGCATCAGAACACACCCCGAATTTAGCGTCCAACGTCTCCATGACTAGAGATACTAATCTTGGTGGTACAAGTGAAGGTGTACCTCCACCAAAAAAGACGGTTTCAAGAGGTGACTTGTAGTCGGAAGGTATTGAAGTGGCTTTAATTTCTCTGCATAGGAAATCAATATAGTTAATAATTCGAGGGTCGTCATCACCATAAGGTGAAGATGACCCCAATGCGACGATGGGGAAGTCGCAGTAGTGACAGCGCTTTCGACAGAACGGGAGGTGAACGTAAGCTGAGGTTGGAGTATGCTGTTGTAGCAACATATTCTCCATTGAGGCATTTTGTCGAACAGGTTGTGGGGTTTTTGTTATTGCAGTGATAATTGTGTTCGAGTAGTTGCGGGGTTTTTTGGCCTTAGAGGGAAAAGCCGTTAATATGGGAGTGAAAGTTGATCTCAGCATTTTTTTGGGAAGGCCAACGTATAAGTCAAGCTGGAACAAAAATTAAACCTGAGTAGTTCAAACTACTAGAGAACTTTATGAGCATAATTTTCCTCTTTTAATATTTGATGGGTGGATATCCGTAAAGGTGATTGAGTTGGTGTAGCATATGATATTTCATAACGAAAGCTAATAAATATTTTTTTTTAGCCGTCATCTTCTCAATCAAGATGTTGCACCAAACTTACCTGATATAGTTAAATATCCTATGTGATATGCAAGTTATTGTACTATAGCAGTTTACTCAGTGTGCATACATAAAATTTAGAGCAACTTTTACATATAGCAAACACAAAATTTATATTTATATGCTATAGCAAAGTTTGTATAATTGCGCTCCATAACAAATATAAATATGTATATTTCGCTATACATATACAAAAGAAAACAGTTGTATAATTTGTTTTGGTATACATATACAAAAATATCAATTGTATAAAGTGAGAGAAGCGAGTGAGCGAGCGAGATCTGGGAGAGGGGAGAGAGGGGAACGAAAATATATGTACATGTACAATTTTCACGCATTTTATACATTTGCGTTTTGGTATAAAGTGAGAGAGGCGAGTGAGAGAGCGAGATCTGGGAAAGTGGTGAGCGAGATCTAGGAGAGGGGAGAGAGGGGAACGAAAATATATGTATATATACAATTTTCTCTCGCTTTATACAAACACAAACGTATTTTATACAATTTGCGTTTTTGTATAAAGTGAGAGAGGCGAGTGAGAGAGCGAGATTTGGGAGAGTGGCGAGCGAGATCTGGGAGAGGGGAGAGATGGGAACGAAAATATATGTATATATACAATTTTCTCTCGCTTTATACATACACAAACACACTTTATACACTTGCGTTTGTATAAAAAACGAGAGAGGCGAGGGAGAGAATGAGAGTGGCGAGCGAGATTTACCAGGAGAGAGGTGAAATAACAACAGTTTGCTATGATATACAATTAAATCAAACTATATTTATAGCATTTAATTTGAACTAATAGTTTGCTATTATATACAATTTTTCCTAAAATTTAATGGGTGGCCCAAGTAAAGAAATCAAACCTCTTTATAAGTTACTCCTCCGTCCACTTTTATTTGCTTTTTCAAAAGTCAATTTGATTAATTTTCAAAGTTAAATTAAATTACATTAATTCGATATTTTTAAACTAAAAATTTAGATATTCAAAAACTATACGAACAGTACTATAAATTACAATTTTTTGCATATCAATATGATGAAAAATACGTCATAAAATGTTAGTCAAAGTTTTTATAGTTTGACTCTAAAAAAGGAAATTATGACAATTTTTTTATTTTTTTAGAAATTATGACAATTAAAAGTGGATGGAGGTAGTATAACACATTGTTTTCTAGATATTTTTAAATTGTTATAAATAAATATTGTTATAAAAAATATATAGTACACATTCTTTTTCAATTTATGTGACATATTTCATTTTTTGAGAGTCAAATCGTTAAAATTTGATAGAAAATTTGCTCACAAAATCTTCAAAGTTTTTAAATAAAATTTATTTATTTGTAAACTAAGTAAAAAGTATTAGTAAGTCACAATAATAAACAATTTAAAGTATTTAAAAGAAATAGTTACTGTTTGAATCGAAATTCGAAATGTGTGACATAAATTAGGATAGAAGAAGTATAACATTATAAAAAGATACTTCCTCCTTCCCAATTTATGTGACATTTTTCGGATTACAAGGTTCAAACATGTTTATCTTTGACCATAATTTTTTTCAATTATTTTGAATTGCCAATTATTGTAACTTATAACACTTTTTACGTAATTTACAATTATATAAATTTCATTTAAAAAAAATTGAAGATTCTACGCGTAAATTTTCGATTAAACTTAAACTGTTTGACTCTCAAAAAATGAAAATATCATATAAATCGAGACAGAGGAAGTAATAAAAGAGTGAAGTGATCACTTGAAAAAACAAATTATCCATTCTTTTGTGAGAAAATAGTCAAAAGCCCCCTCAATCTATTAGTTAATTCTCAACTACACATTTATTTTGTACGGGGTCTATTACCCCCTGAACTATTCAAATATGGAATAATCACCTCCCTAAAACGTCATAACTAGTTTTATGTCAAAGTTGTGCAACACACACGATGAATCACTGTACATTCATTTTTTTTTCTTACTTTTTTTCCTATAAATTATAAACCTAATCAAAATAATAATTTAATAATCCCCTGTAAAATTATGTAAAGTTTCCATTTTTATCAAACCTGAAAATTAAAATTTATAAAAAATTCTTTAAAATAGAGATTGTTTTTCCAAAATACTAATGATTTTTTAGAGAATAATAAGAGAAAATGAGGAAAAAATCTCTACACCAAATTAAAGAAGAAGAACAACTCAATAGCTAGTCTACATAAAGTTTCAATTTGAAATCGAACCCAAAAACAAAAACTTGCAAATAAGTATTCACAAATGTGGGAGTGAAAAACAAATTTGGTAAGAATGAAATTAGAAAGTTAAATTTCAAACTCACCATTGTTGGTTCAATGTGGTTTGACTTTTTTTTTTTTTTTGTGCGGAAATTTTAAGGAGTTAAAGAAAAAACTTGAACTCCATTTTTGAGCTTCATATATAAGAGTTTCTTATGAGTTAGGTGATTGTTATTGCGAAAAAGGGTTGATGTTTGATTAACTAAGCATAAATCAGTAAGCTACAAACTGATTTGGAGCTCCTAGAGACGAAATTTAGAAGACCACCATGAAGGACTTTGAGAAAAACTTGAAGAAATTATGAAATAGGTATAATAATTTTGTGATATAAGAAAAGGGAAAGAATTTTAAAAAATGAATTAATTATATAATCTCCAATGAGAGACTGCCACATGGACTATTTTATTCATATTTAGTCATTTTATGTCTTTTTTTAAACTCTTACGCGCCTACAAGAGGTGTATTCACCTCCTTGGATAAGTCAGTGTTTAAGGGTCACAAAATATCAAAAATAAAAAAATTACGAAGATAATAAAACCCATAAAATATAAATATGTAGTTGAGAATTGACTAACTATTTTCTCTTCTGTCAACATAAAACAAATTATAGATAGGGAAACTAACATGTTTAGTCCCTCAAATATCAATGGATCTTTATTTTGATTATAAGTAATCCAATTTTGTATAAAATACTGTTCCCGCTACAATTTCGCTCAATCTCTGTTTTTGGCGGCGAAAAAATCCCTTCGTTTTCGCGTCTACCGTAAGATTCCGATCAAAAGCCATGAATTCCAGAGAGCTAACGCTGTTCTCAGCTGCCGCAGTGTTTGGTGCTTTTGCCTCTGCTATGACCATTCGCTTATTTTTCAACCCGAAAAGCCGTTCTGTTACTGACCCAGATTCGGGAGTTAACGGTTTTCATCAAAGGAAGTCGTCGTCTTCTCGGAACCCATTTGATCCTTCAAAACGAGAAGGGTTTGTGGTTTTTGAACTTTTATCGATTGTTTTAGGTCCTTAGTTATGTATTTTACTATGGTTCTGTAATTGTAGGTATTTGACGTGGGATGATTACTTTATGGCGATTGCATTTCTATCTGCTGAACGATCCAAGGATCCAAACAGGCAGGTACTACTCTAATTTGTGAACCGAACCGATTTTAAGCATTTTCATGAATTTGAAGTCATTTGGAACGAGTGGATGATTGTAATTACACGCCAACTGTTTGTTAAATTGTTGTATATTTCATGCTTAATTGTCGTAGGTGTCGTATTGCCAAAAGCTAATGTATACTTCACTGAGTTCACTTTGTCAATTGACAGATCTATATTATTAAAAGGATTCCTTCCTAAATAGAATAAGAAGGAATGGACTGTTTTGTAACACACAATAGAAACTACCAAGTAGTCTTGAGATGATACACAAACTAAAGACTCCGATTTTCGAAGAAAAGCTACTGATTGGTTTGTCTTATTTATTCTGCCGTTTAGGTGAAACCAAAGTAGTTATCAGTGGTTGTTACCCCTTTTAACCTCATGATAAAAGGAGTTATCTAATAATTTGTGATGATCGGATTTCTTCCAACTGAATGAATGAAGCTGTTTATAGACAGTCACACTTGTTCATGGTGCTCTCGTTAAATGCTCTGAACTCTTTTGTATGATATTTCCACTTTTTACTGCTCTAATGCTACTTTGAGGTTGACTTTCTTGAGTCAGGTTTCACAAGGTCCCTTGGGACTAACCATTTTCTGGCTGTTTGGCAGGTTGGAGCATGTTTGGTGAGTCAAAATTATGTAATATTAGGTAAGATGTATTTAAAGGAATCAAATATATGTCTATTGAAAGCTGAAAAATGTTTCATATCTTTAAGTTATTGTTCAAATCACATTTGATTAGGAAGAACCACATCAATTCATCTAATTGTCTGTCGGAGCAGCTCAGAGATAGATAAACTAGTTTCACATTCACTTAGGACCTCAATATTTGGTTAAATTTCACTTATGATACTATAATTAATCATTTCTTGATTTGAGAACTCCGATGGTCCTATCACTTTACCATTATATTGGTTGAGTCATGATTTCATATTGGTTCCAGAAAAGATGAAATAGATATGGTTGCTTCTGAAATAGTAGGGAGATTAAAAAAGCTTCATTCACTTCTTAATACTTGTGCAATGCTTTCGTAGGAACTGCAAACATTTGCAAGACGCCAGTCTTCAGTTGCCCCTCTTAAGTTGCTTTAGTCTTTGCACATTAGTTAGTATTATTTAACATATGCTCTATCTCGTTTTTATCACTTGACGTAGAATAGATGTAGCGGCATTGCCACACTTGGGAGTATATTGGTTAATTTCACACTTGAGATTCATACAGGATTTTTGATGTTGGAAGTCCATCTTTGACTCTCCAATTTGTTATCTTTTTTCATATGGGTATTTATTATTTGATTTTTTCCCCGTACTACATGAATGTTTGATTAGGCTAATCACATAACTTCTAGAATATGAACATTGGGCAACATATTTACTGCCAATTGGTTATTAGATTCCATCTGATTGATGCTCTACTTTTAGCCAGGCATTGGATACAATGGGTTCCCACGTGGCTGTTCAGATGACAAGCTTCCCTGGGCAAAGGTTGTTTCTGTTCAAAGAGCGTATATCTTTATTACTGTCACTGTTATTCTAATTAATTCCTAACATTTCAGAAATCTAAAAATGGGAATCCACTGGAGACAAAGTATCCGTAAGTAATAAGCTTCTCTGAGACATTTTATGTGTAATTTATGTCAGTAGACTACACAATGTTGTTTTGTAGGTTTGTAATTACCTTACCAGTCATACTATCTTAATTCAAGAAACAAGTTTCGCTCAGTCTACATTTGATGACTCTACCTAATTTCAAGCTCACCAATTTTCTTGCAGTTATGTTTGTCATGCTGAAGTTAATGCCATCCTGAATACAAATCATGCATCTGCTGCAGGACAGGTTAGCTTGGGTCTTGACCTGTGCAATATCGATCTGATGTCCTGTCACTCCACTGCCAATCCTTTTTTCTCTCTCTCTGAACAGCCTCTTTTCTTATTAAGTCTATTGGAAATTATTTTATCTGGCCTGTGTTTTGCCCAGTATTATCTCACAGAATACGCCTTACCCTATTATGCAGAGGCTTTACGTGACAATGTTTCCTTGCAATGAATGCGCAAAGATTATCATTCAAGTAAGTCTGATCCTATTTGACCTCAAAATATCTATAGCACAGCTACTATGGAAGAATGATAATATGGAGGATTGCTTCTGTTTGGGAGCTTAAGCTTTTTTGGATGTTCATTTTATAAATTCAGTGAGACATGCACTAGCAGAAATTATGTGAAGACAACAAAACAAATTTGCACCTCACTTTTGAATTGAAAATACTTGCATCAGGATTTGGTGCTCAGATTCCCTTAAATCAAGATAAATACAGATATAAGTAGGCACGTTTGCAACTTATCGAGATATAACATTCAACCATAAAGAGATTAATGAGGATTCTGGAATAAAAATAGCTATGGAAAGAATCTGTGGGTGTTCTCCAGTATTTTTTTGACTTCTATGCAGTATGCACAGGGAACTAGATTTGTGATTAATTTTGCGTCTCTGCATCATGCATCTTCCCTGTTTGGTTTTCCATTAATTTATACTTCTCAAATTTCTGTATTTTGCAGTCTGGTGTTTCAGAAGTTATTTATTTTGTGGAGAAGAGATTAGATGGTTCTGACACGGCTTATGTTGCTTCCCACAAACTTCTGTCATTGGCTGGCATTAAGGTAAGTCATTTTAGTGTCAACTCCTCTCCAAGAAATGTTACCTCGAGGAGATACAACATCTTACCAATGAAAAAAAAAGAGAGAAGATTTTCTCAGTACTTATAATCCTTGGTGCAAAAGTGAGCAACAGATATCAGTTATTTTGATCTGTGAACTTATTTAAATGCTGATTGTAGGTAAGGAGGCATCAGCCACTGATGAAAGAGATCTCAATCAAGTTTGAAGAACTATAGACATCAGACACTCCTCGATGATGTGCTCTTCTCTAGACCTTAATGTATCTTATGGATCTCTCTTGGGTTAAATATCAAAGATTGATGCATCTTAGTACTGCTGCTAAGAGGGTTGAGGACTCTCAACTCTTACTATGTAAGGTGTTCAACTCTTGAGATGTGTACCAATGTTTGTAACTGCTCACTTTAAGATGAAAAGCTGCAACTTCTCGTTATTACCGAAAACACTTTCACTGGTTAATGTAAAGATGATGAGTTAACTTCTTTAACAGGTGTTTTAGTACCAAAGTAGATTGGTTTTATGTTGATAAAAGTGTGGTAATTACATTGATGTATCCATTTCATTAGAAGTTTAAAAAAGAAAAAAAACATGTTTATATGTGATCCACTTGTAATCAGATTCTCTGATGGCTATGGTTTGAGACAGTTCATTCCTTAAGTCTGCCTCTAGCAATAGAGAATTTGCCTGCATTTTGCAAAACTTGGAATCCATAGGGGCAGTTTTCAGGTATTCCAATTAACAAAAGATGGAAAAAGAAAGAATACTGAAACATTGTATAGAATGTATTCATTAATTTAGCACCTTCAGGGATCCAAAATTGCTAGAAAGGAGATGATGACAATATTTGATTAACCTTTTAGTAATACAACATTAGCTCTAATCGCTGTCAGTAAGCTGCTGCAATATAGACTAGTTCATCGCCTCAATCCCACATGCTGGGAATAGGAACATCTCACTGTCTATTCATTCAGACAAAAAACTAGCATTAAAAATGCCTCCAAAATCCCAAATGCATCAAGCTCACTCCAGCAAGCCTAATTTTTCTCCAAAGCAAGGAAATTTTACACGAACATCATGCAACCAAGTTCTCCTTTTCTCTACAACAAGAGATTCTCTTTTTGTATTTCAGTAATCTAATCAGCGTTAAGAGCCTCAAGTTGCCTTCTGAGCTCTTCAAGGTCATCCGCAGGACCAACTGTTTCTGTGACAGGTGGTTTTGGGTATTCATCAGCTACTGGCAGCTCATGAACAATACCTTCAGGAAGGACACCTGCAATTAAAATAAACAATACATTCAGGTTAAAGTTAACATATTATAAGTATAATATTTTCAGATGATTTCAACCATTAGTTCTATCTCTTTCTTCTTTAAATTGTAACCTAACATACGATCCATCACATAAACTATAGTTGTAGGAAGTAACTGTCACATGATATATGGAATATTTCCTTTTTCTAGCCGTCTTAACACAGTTTAATGCAACTAGTGATCTATTGTCTAATTATGTGTTACAATGCCGCAAGTGACCACCTAGAAGTCATTTTATATTGTGTTAAGAATTGCTCCAAGTTTTAATTGCTCAGAATACAGACATCCAAACAGTGTGTTTGACTTCCACCTGAATAAACTAGAAATCCATCCAAAACACAAGAAAGAGAAATTCTCCTAGTATGATCTGGCATCATTGCAGAACAAGGAATTATATGCAATTTTTGGAATGTCTAATACACAAAGATGGGTACTCGAATTTCAGTAGATGATGCAGAATTTGGGGGTACACATTATGAAATAGTGAACTCACATAAAAAGTTTGTACGACAATCTTTTCAGCAAGCTTTATTAATTGGCAAGTATACTCTAAAGCTACACATGGCCTAGAGGGGTATGTGTTGTGCTTTCTATGCATCTTATTATACTAGTGCATGACACATGCAATTTCAGGCAGTTGGCATGCCTGTCCTAATCAATAGCAGAACAAACTGTATTTTCCTTCCAACTTCCATTCTCATGACTAGTTCTTTTACCTTTTAACTCTCCAAACTTCGTGTAAATTCATTCTTTAGCCCCTGTTTCTCAGTTTTAGCATTTCAGATGTTTAGATGGAAAACTATGGATATCACAAAGTAAAGGTTATCCACAACATCTTGGACAAAAGAAACTTTTGTATTGAGCAATATGGGCTTCATTTTTGAGTTATGAACTATGATCCATCCAAGAATTCTAAGTTAGCAGATTACTGGTTTTTTTTTGAGAAATAGCTAGGGGATAACTTGAGGCTACACAAGCAAAATATGTCTATCTGAGTTGACAAATACCTGAAATTTTCACGTCAGAACCATCCACCTCTTCATCATCTACAACGCTGAAAGATCACAAGGCAACAACAAAATCAATTAGTTGAACAACAACAAAATGAATAACAGTTATACGACACCATACTTAAAACTAGAAACTCAAGAAAGTTGTTAAAGTGCTTTCTACCAATATGAGGCATGCAAGAAAGTAGTTGTCTCTAAGCTTACCTCGTGATTTTTTATTTTAATTTGGATAAATTATCTGGCTTACCTTATGTTCCATTCATTATCTGCATGAACAGGGTTTTCTGCAGGTGATAATGCTTCTATGTCCGCCTTTGCTTTAGCAGCAGCATCCCTAGTAGGCTTTGCAAGAATGTATTCCTTCTGCAAATTAGAGGTCACCATAAAATGTCAGAACTTCAATTGAATATCAAATAAGATGACATCTCTTGTAGGACCATGGCCACTATACCTGTCGTTCCAAACAAGCAGCGTTTGAACATTGTGAGTTTGGCTTCATCTCCATTGTTGGAAAATAATCTTTGAGGGCATTGTACCCCTAGAACAAGCAACAAGAAAGAAACTATAAACATCAAAACTGTTGAACTACACTTAATTTCTGTCTTCACCTTGCCCTCCTTTTATAAGAGGCAAGTACCCCTAGAACAAGCAACAAGAAAGAAACTATAAACATCAAAACTGTTGAGCTACACTTAATTTCTGTCTTCACCTTGTCCTCCTTTTATAGGAGGCAAGTTCACTTCTCTACTTGATCAGTTATTTGTGATGAATAGACAATAAGAGGGAGTGATTAAGAAAGTCCTCCGTACTTCAGAGGCTTGAAGTAATTCAAGTCTTTGACTAAAAAAGAAGTTTAAGAAAGAACTTAAGTGTGATAAACATTCTCCCACATCTATCCTACAGCCTTAGTGGGGGAGAAGGGGGGAGAGAGAGAGAGGGAGAGAGAAAGAAAAAGAGATGGCAAGCTTTACCAGATAGCATGACACCTGTCCAAACTTCAACAAGTATTTCAATGTGTTTTGAACTAAAAGTCCAGCTACAACTCCCTGTCAAAGACAGTTCAAATATTAATTTACCAAATGAAATAATGAATTTGTAATACAGCTTCAATCAAATCATAAACAAGATTCTAGTAGTTTTGCAGAAAGAAAAGTTCATATTATTCTTCAAAAGAGAGTGGGAGCATAAACATGAGAAAAGCAATCAAATTAGCAGCAAATGCGGCTATAAAGAGAGAGAGAATAATTTTAAAAATGAGAAGAACCAAACTTCAACCACAATTTCCAATGTTTCTTTTTACAATTACAATTGCTTATCATTTAAAAGTCATTCACATGGTGATCTTCAGGCAGAGAACTTAGAATATGTCATGCATAAAATTAATAAAGAGAAACGGAACATACAAATAATTGAGGACTAAGGTTTTTCATACCATTGTAGTAGGTAGAGATGCAGCACAAACCCCTTCACGCTTTAGGGTCCGTTCATCAATTCCAGATGCTACAACCTAAAAGCACAAGTATTCATTACAGTGAATTATTTAGTTTACTTGAAAGCAATCTTAGTTGGAGTTTATACAGAAAACTGAAATTTGGCAGAACAAAGTAGCTTCACATCATTTTTTAGTTATAAGTTAGCCTTTAACTTTTCTCGAACTTAAGCTTATGATTATTATAGAGGACCGTTACAGAAATCAAGAATCTCCCTTCAAGTAAAGATTGGTGATCATTGATTGAAGCCATTAGGGAAAATTTCAATAACTAAACATACCAGAGGAGGCACACATGCAAAGCAGGCAGTTTCACCAGGAATCAGTAATTGTATGTGACCCGACACAGCATCTTCAGATACACCTACCAAATTCCATCAATGTCTAGTTTAATTCAGAGGTTCATGACGCACATGAAAGACAAAAAAAGAACATGAAATTCAGCCACTTACCAGATTCCATCCATGTTTGGTTTAATTCATTGCAGGCCTGCATTGCAATGAATTACTTAGTGGGTTAATTAACCAAACAAACGAATAACCTAAAACCTAATATCAAGTAAACTTATTTTTATACAGATTAAAGAAATACTAGCAAAACTAACAAGTTTGGAGATACTTTTAAACAGAGGAAATAGGGGTCACAAAAACACACTGGCCATTAATTAAAATTTTAGGTAGCAGATATTTGCTCACCTGATTTACCACCATCCTTGCTTCATAATTATCTACACAACTCAAGACGAGGTCAACCCCACTACCACTCTTAGTTGGCTGGAATGATTTATTTGTAAGACTTGACATAAATGTGTCAAAACCTTCCACAGTTGTTATATTCAACGTGTAGCTCTACAAAGAGAACCCAGTTAAATGAGAATAAGAGGAAGATGGAGAAAACCCTAAGAAATTAAAGGATGCAGGAAAACAAACATATTATTGAGAAAAAGTGTAAAACATTAGCAAAGAAATGTCACAAGTAACCTACACTACCATAATAATTTAAGTTCAAGTCGGAAAAGACTTTCAACGAACCTTTTGGGATGGGCATACACATTCATACAGTATGTAAAGGCAGAAAATATGCCTGCATAACGGCCCTATTGTTCCGATGGAGAGAAGAACCTATGATTAGATTTTCGGGAAATTTCCAAACGAACAATTTCAACGAAATCTTTCAATTTCTTATTTTACTATGTTCAACTCTATGTATTCCTCTATCCGTAGAGTACATTGAATGTACAGAAATGGCTATAACAGAGTTTCTCTTATTCGTATTAACAACTACTCTAGGGGGAATGTTTTTATGCGGTGCTAACGATTTAATAACTATCTTTGTAGCCCCAGAATGTTTCAGTTTATGCTCCTACCTATTTTCTGGATATACCAAGAAAGATGTACGGTCTAATGAAGCTACTATGAAATATTTACTCATGGGTGGGGTAAGCTCTTCTATTCTAGTTCATGGTTTAAGTCTTCAATTGCAACACAAGCCGGTAACACATGCACTGAACATGGTCCAGAGAGGGAGAGAGACAGATGGCACTTTAAAGAACAAATTATTTGCTTCTTTCATGCTTCAAGTTCTAGATGCAGGAAAAGGTTCTATTTTAATCCATAAATGGTCTGAATCAGCTTTTCTAGTATAGTCCATTGAAGAAAAGACTATATACATCCAGATTCCAGGGACCAGTTAAGAAACTAGAAGAAAATACCACGCTCACGACCTAAACACTGTGAAGTCATCATACTCGCAACCTATCTATACAGTGAGGGGACAAACAAGAGGCATTATTGTCAACTGACATAAACCAAATTCATGCTTAAGCTAATCGATAAATAGGAAGGAGCACACTGAAAGAGAAAAGTTTCTTTGTTGAATACCAAAACAAATTTCTGAGTGTCATAGTCTGTTAGGACCTCACCTCCCATTAAAGAAAAGCTAGTTCAAAATAACGCAAAGCATTTAAGAGTAATTAACAGTTGATTTTACAAGGACATGGCATTTTTGTCATTCAATAGTATCTTCAGGAATGGAATGAAAAGAAGAAACAATTACTATAAATTTGTTTATATCCTGAACTTGGTGAAGAAGGACCCCAAACAAACTTTCCTTTAAAACAAAGCCCTAAGTGGCAAACTGCAAACAATCCTACCTCAAGCACAACATCAGGATTTATCTCTGAAAGAGTTTGTACAGCAGCATCTGTCTTTGTCATACCAACCTGGAAGTGACATTAGAATTGTATGGTAAAATGCCAAAGTGATAGTTATTTATAGCTGAACAAAGGATACAATTTCTCATATTAAGAAAATATAAAAAATCTTTGGCTCAACAAAGCAAACTATCAATATAGAAATGTAATCACTCACTAACTACGAAACATATGCACAGGGAGATATGGAAATAAGAATATTTTCTAGAAACACCTGCTCTGGGCGAAAAAATAGCCTATTCATATTAGCTAACTCCACTTTGTCATAATCATACAACAAAAGACGACCAATGCCACACCTTGTCAGCATCTCAGCAGCAACACTGCCAACACCACCTATGCCCTGTCATGAAGAAATTACAAAATTATGAGCATTTAAATATCAAGGACTAGCAGAAGCATTCTACGCGAGTCTAAAGTAATATATAGAGGACTCAAATACATGTTTAAAAGAGTGTGAAGTCTAAATAATTATTCTGACAGCTTGATGGACATACTAAAGATTTTGCAGTTTCTGGGCCTTAAACAGGGCTCTAAGCCCTTTTAGGCACCAATATACGGCATAAATCTTACATATAACTTTAGAAAGTCCAGGAGCTTAACACTCAGATTGGCAGTCAGTATAGCAGATGTATGATGGAAATAAAGGACAGTTTCCTTTTTGTTGATAAGTTAAAATAAAAGACTATCTCAAGTGTAAAGCACAAAAATCAAGGCATTATTTTGCATACATCTAAGACCTTGACAGGAAATATTAAATTATATGAATCCCAAGTTCATAGCATTATTGGAAGTCATGACGCATGTAAAACAATATTGGAGAGTAAAAATGTTGTTCTATAACATTACAAATACAGAATTTGACACAAGGAGGGAGATAAAATACATACAACAATGGCAACTGAGAACTCTCTTATTCTTTCATAATTATTCACAATACCCATCCTTTGGAGTGCCATAAGCCTGCTATAGGGATTGCTATCAACAACTTCAGCACTCATGTCCTGCCACCATCACAATCAAGTAATTATTTGGCTAAAGTTAGTAGTTAATTCCAATGAAAATATGGCATGACGGACTATATACACTAACCTTGACTTTTGAACGGCGAGTAGTTCCTGACTTCTCAAGAGTAGCGATGTTTTCAGCATGCAAATGCATCTAGAAATACGACCAAAGAGAAGAATATATCGAAATATCATGACCAGACATGCGAAAAAATGATAAAAGGTTAATGGCATTTGAAAGATAAGGTGGTATTTTTGACGAACACTGTAGTAAATTTTAAAAAAAAAATCATTGACGGTGTTTCTCAGGTTACATGTAGGTTTAGACGTAAAGATAAAGTGGATGAGAAAGACCGAAATCCCGCCCAATTATGTTCTACTATAAAGTAAGCATATTAAATTTTAAGGGCTATCAAAAGGCAAATATATCCATTTCACATTAAACAAACGAAGTAAACCTGAAGAACTTCTATATAGTCAAAGATATAAACCAAAGCCTACTTAGCATAAGACATTATGAAGGATATGAATTTGAATACATTTAATAAAATATCGAGAGGATGAAACTGCAATGTTTACAAACAACAACAACCATGCCTCAATTCCTAACAAACTTGATCATCTAGATGAATCCTCACCAACCATAATTCTCCATTTAAATTCATCTTAGGCCAAACAAAAAAGTACTCTATTAGAAATCCTATTTTTTTACTATGAGACTGCAATGCTTAATGCAGGTTTTTTATGACAAATCTAAAACACTCCCAGGTAAGTCCGATAAACTGCACAGTCAATGCATAAAAAAAACGACTAATTGAGTCGTTGTTGACCTTGGCAGATATGGTACCTAAATTCTGAACATAATCAGCATTCAATCAATTGACCCCATAATGAATTCTTCTACTTTACTATAACAGATCCAGTTGAATTAGACCTAACATATTAGGAGATTGAAGAATTCGCAACACCATTGAACTTACCTTTTCGATTAGAGCAAGATGGGAAGGATCTGAGATTGATTTCTTGAGAGAATGGAGATCACTCAGCAATTCTTTGAGCTCCACCTCCATGATTTTTACCGATTTGACGACTTCTCCCGTATGAATTTTGCTTTTGTTTGCTGGGTTTAAACGCCAATTTGGGTAATCTTTGTGCTAATTGTAATAGCTTTTGTCAGTCCATTAAGGTTTTGGAACCATAACTCATAAATCCCAATTAGAAATGTGGAATTACTTACTTTTATTTTCTTTTTATTATTTCCTCTTCTTTGACTTTTTTTTCTTATAAAGAAAAGAAGAAACTACACATTCCTCCTATATGTTTTGTTTTGACTTGTTAGACATACATACTTTAATATTACACAATGCTCTTCGCTTATTATTATGAAAATACAAAATATTGAAAAAAAAAACAATATATTGTAAGTCAAAAATCCTCTTATGTTTTTATTTAATTATTTTGTGTAACATTACTTTAGAATGTGCAGCTAAATTTTGGGTCATCTAGATTATAAATTTAATAGATATGGTAGATATCTGAGAATATAATGAAAATCAAGAGAGAATGATGTAATAAATAATATACTTACGAAAGAAATATAAGATATTAAACTTCTTATTCTCAAATATAATGTAATATAATTGAAGTAAGAAAACCTTCTGTGAAAAAAAAATTTCTCCCAGAAAAGGGGTTACGTTTTTGGAAATCAAATAATGTAATAAAAAAATTCCTTCTTTTATTGTGCGAAATGAGAACATTATGTCACCCTCTTGCCTTTCCAAACTAGACTGACTGATTCTTTCATGATCAAGTCAATTCTGGGTTTTGCAGTTAAAAACACAACTCGCATGACGCCGAAAAATGGAGAATCCACACTGAGATGGATGATGTGCTGAAGCCCCGGTAATAAAAAGGGCAATGCAAAGTTCAGAATACAGTTTTCTTTGCTTCCCCTGATGCTGAGTAGTTAAAAGTTAAATCAGCAAGAGCTAAACATTTGCAAAGAACACATTTGTAGATGAATACAAGCATTCCCCTGAAAATTAGTAGGGGAAAGAAGAACCCTTGCAGGCAAGTAATGCTAACTAGGAACCAAGAATTTCCAATAAGATCAGAACAGCAGATGCATAGACAACTGAATTCAATTTTGGGAAACTGAAAATTCAATGTTACAAACATGGAGAAAATGACTACGAAAAACTACTAGGATCCAGGAGCCATCTCAAGGTTGGGCAGCCTCCAAGAGTTTTTCGTATACTTGTCTAGCTGTCAAATCCTCCACCTGATGCAGCGGAAAAAAAAATCAGTGAGAAGTTGACTTAGAAATAACTATTAGTAATATGCAGTTTTTAACAAGGATACTTCTCTAGCCAAAATGTATCTTGTGTCATAATGGAAGGAACTATTACTTATTTTATGTGTTATCAAAGTGCAAAAATTGTGAATGAAGAGTTTTTCACTGATGAAATTGGTACAAGTCCTTGCCAGGAAAGAACAAACCACCCAAGCAATTTCCCTTGATTTTTTTTACTAATGTCTATGGACTTTGATGTTTCAATTTGTCCCTTCAAAATTGAAAAGTTGGTCCGTGTAAGGCCAAGTTGATACAATTGGTACCTGCAGGTATATACTCCTCTGCATGTGCCTACAGATTCTTGTCAGGCAGCTTACCAGGCACTATTCAAAGACAACATAATCTGACAAAGTGGTTCTTGGCAAAGCTTAGAATAGATAGCACTTCCTCAGATTGGAAACAGGTAATGCACCGCATGCGTCGATACATAATCACTAGAGTTTATTTATGACTACTAGCCAAGGTCATACTTCCAACTGTGGAGTGTCTACTTCCTCTTTTAGACCAAAATGTAGATGAATACTATCTCGGGTATCTAGCATCATTGGATTTTGATCCTACAAGTATTCTTCTGTGAAGCTTCTATTGAATTTGATATTCAGGTTGCTATTACACCAAGCCTCAGAACTTGAACTCTAGAGCCATAATATGCATGCAAAAGATAGCAGGGAAGACGTATGCTCAGTGTCTCACAAGGAACTAGAAAACATAGAGTTCTTTTTTTTAAATGGTAGGTATTGTTGATGTCAAAATTAGCACTAGAGAATATCTACAGGTTATCCAGCCAAAGAGGAAATTGAACAAAAAATTTAACAGAGAAAACAGTAGAATTGCGTATGGGGAAAACACACAGCTAAAGTTAGAAGTGTCAATTTGGACTTACTACAAGAAGCTTTGATTTGCTATTCCATCCTCTTTGGAGAGTCATCTGAGATAATTTCAGACCCAGTACCTGCGTAAACAGAAAATCTTAGTGGTTCAGCAAATCAACCAGCGAAGTATCTAAATTATGTGCTCAAATATGAAAGTTTTTTATTTTTTGATGACAAGGGAAACCCGCGGCCGCTACCCTTTGGGTGCGCACAGGGTAAAACCCCCGTTCCTATGCAATAGCTCGCAAACCACATAGGAGAGGTAACTCGCACTAGGCAAGCCCGGTGCGACGAGCTCAACCCAGAAGGCAAACCCCTTGCTTTCGCTGGCAAGGGGTTTCGAACTTGAGACCTCCAACATGGAAGTCCCAAGCCCAAACCACTGGGCCACCCCAAACTCAAATATGAAAGTTTTTCCAAGAGGCAAAGGCAAAAATGTTCAGCATACTCGGCCCATGAATTCCAGAAGTTCATTATTAGCTTCCCCACGAGCTGCAGGTGCGGTTACAGTGACCCGAACATCATCTGCATTCACTCCTACAACAACATAAATGTCAAATAAGCTTCTCCTGAAGATATTAGAAGTGCCATTTCTTCTAAATAAATAAGTTGATCAACGTGCATTTTTAAGACGAAAAGAGAAAATCTCCAAGTCACATATAAAGAGAGTTTTCCCTCCGAGTCAGAGAGCATATAATTGTAACAGAAAGCTAAGGTATGTTAATATTATACAATTATTTTTCTTTTTCATCAAATTACTGTTTTGCAATAAAGTTGACCCCCAACAAAACCGTTCTAGCCTCCCACCACTGAGGCAGGTCCATATGAAAGTTTTGAGTTTGGACACCCGAGACATCAACATCAAGGCCAAAAAAGATAATTTAACAGTACAACCGCTAAATTTTCAGTTTTTACAATTAGCAGAAGAGTAGGAATTGTTATTAAATGTACTTAATCATCTGCAGAATTGTTCAGTGGACAAATTATTTCCCAACACTGAAGCAGAGGCGTATCTAAGGGGGGGTCACCGGGTTCACGTGAACCCATGCTCCCCTCCCGAGATCATATATAGTAGTGTTATTTTTAACTTTTTTTTTATTGATATGTAGATGTGTGAACCCACACTCGAAGTATCATATAATGCGATGATGACTAGATGCACCTCTCTACGTGAGGTTAGAAATTTAAATTTATATTTATCTTGTTTTATTTTTCTTTCTAAAATTAGATAACACATCTCTAAGTGGTTATTGGTTGCACTTTTGGCATTTTCATTAATTCATATATATATTGGACCTATAATATTAAAATTTTAACATTTTTTAGTAATAAGAACCTAAATGTCGAACCGGTCAAATTTATATCTTAGATCAACTTTTTTGTAATAATGCAACCATCATCTCGAAATCCTGGATACGCCTCTGCACCGAAGGAAGTGAAGCAAATGAGAGTGTCTAACTTCCAAAAATCACTGAAGGATTATTTACTTGTAATTGCTGACCGCTGGGCACGGTCCTCGACTTCTATCGCCACTTGCACAAGGCCACCTTCTAACTGTGATATGCATGGTGGTACAGGAGCATCCTTCATAAAACAAGAAAATATTAATTCCTGAAGATATATATGTATCTGGAAGAACATGTATATAAGTTGACAAGTAAGAAATATAAGGAGCGTTCTGTGTTCGAATAAAGCATAAGATTTTACATGATCTTACAAACAAGCAAGGGACAGAGAATACAGAAAGATTACACAAGCTAATGCAGAAAAGAAGTTTAAGAAAGCAGACAACAATCAATTTTATGGCTTGCTGCAAATACAGAAAATATGTAGGCATAACTATATAATGCAGCCAGGAAGTGAATAACAGCAAAAACCATTAAGATATAATACCTGTGGATTTGTCTCAGCCGCAATAGTACTAAGTGCCCCATCAACTACATATATGAAAGAGGCAGTCTCCAGATCTTCTTCTGCTCGATAGCAGACAAACAGGCCACATCCCTTACAGGACATTCGAAACTGTTTCTCCATTTTCCCTTCACCACTTTAAAGCAAAAGCAGAAGGTTTCAAAAGAATGTTCCGTATTAAATTGTTACTCATATCAGTCATCAATAATAAAGTTCTTTTCCAGTGAAGCAAGAGACATAAACTAAAGATCTCTACGTTAACGAGCAGCTGCAAAAGGCCAACCGACAAAGTACATCAGAAAGACAGAAAGTAATTAAGTCCAGGTTAAGTTCAGTTTTTCCTACTGACATTTGACTGTATTTTACTCACCATCTTTGTGGTTCCCCAAAGGTAATTATATTTTGGTCTGCATGTTCTCCATGTTCATTCTATATATGTATTCCAGTAATAACTTAGATATACCTATTTAAAACACTTTTGATGATGTCATTCCACTATAGGTCAAGTTCATTACTGCAAGGATTATATCAGCTTCATTTTAACTCTTAGCATCTAGCAGCGCTTCCCTTACAAACAGAGCAAGGTATTCCATTTTAAACTGAAAACACCTTGTAATCTTGACATGTAATTTCCTACATTCCTCTACAGATGATTGCATATACTTGTAATGGAAGCAACATCAATAGACTAAAGTTTACAGGAGCAGAAAGATTACCGCTTTAGAAGAACTTTCCCTGCATCATCTACACTCAATCTTGCGAGATACTTTTTTTTATCCAATACATATGCTTTGTCGGTTTTCCTTTTTGGCATTTTCTGCAATTGATTATCTACAACCATACTTCAGCAAGGAGAATGCCCTGTAATTGGCAGTAACGCCATAATATAGTAACAACAACAACATACCCAGTGTAACCCCACAAGTGAGGTCTGAGCAAGGTAGGACGTATGCAAACCTCACCCTTGCATTTGTGGGGCAGAGAGGCTGTTTCCGAAAGGAGAAAAGGAAGGGAGAGAGAAAACGCCATAGTATAGTAAAATAACAATAACTCCTCTCTCATTCTACGGATAATCATATGGAAATCTTCCTCCATTATGCTAATAACAATAAAGGTTTATGCAGCACCTAATCACATCTAATCCGCGCAGAAGAAGCAAAAGACTACAAACCATTAGATGTCCAAATTTGAAGAAACGAATAATACTGGAAACTAGAAATTTTCAACGTTCAATGTAGCATGTATCATATTCCATCATATAACCAAAAAGGGAACCAAATACTAATTACTAGTACTATAAACATAATGACTCAATAGTTCAGAAGAACTTCTCCTTAGGAGATCACTTCCAGACCATAGTTGACTCTACAACTTTTCAGCCTTAAGCATAATTCAACTAGTTGCTTCACTCCAATTATCCTAAACCACAACATCTCACCTCAACTGTAGAAGTAAAACTTTCAACAATAAAAAATTGTGATTTACGTAGTACTGTAAACTGAAAATTCAACAAATAACTATCCGAATTAACGCTCATTCGTTTAAGTACAGTGCGAGTAAATTTGTTTATAGAATAGAGAGAAAAAGGTGAGAGTACGAACCGGAGATGAGGACATGAGAACTGCAGTGCTTGCAGTAATAGACGAAGAGATCGGAGTTGGGACCGTCGGGAACTGCGTCCTCGCTAGAGTATGTGTGCGTTGTCCTCTTCGGCATCTTTCCTCTAAGCCTCTCGCAAGTACACCGCCGGAGAAGATGAAGATTTTATTCTTTTTTTCTCTTTTTCGTTTTCTTTCAGGTCCTTGGGTATTCCAAATAAATTCTACTTTTGCCCTTGTCTTTTTCCTATTTGGACAGTTTGCCTCCTAATTCACGGTAAAAACTCAAATGGTACACCATTATTTTTCGAAAGGGAAAAGGCTCAAATATGCCATCGAATTTTCAGAAAAGGCTCATTTATGTCATTCGTTAAAAGTTTGGCTCATCTATGTCATTACCGTTTAAGAAAAGGCTCATTCATGCCATTATTTTTTAACAGTGGTTTTGCAAAACCATTTTTTACACGTGGCCAATTATAATTCGGCCACATCATTATTATTTTTATAAAAAAAAATCAAAATTCTGAATAAAAATTGAATTATAATTCGGCCACGTCATTTTATTTTTTTTAATTCATTTTTTGTTCAGAATTTCGATTTTTTTTATAAAAAAAAATTAATGACGTGGCCGAATTATAATTGGCCACGTGTAAAAAATGGTTTTGCAAAAATTGAATTAAAAAAATAATAATGACGTGACCGAATTATAATTCAATTTTTGTTCAGAATTTCAATTTTTTTTATAAAAAAAATTAATGACGTGGCCGAATTATAATTGGCCACGTGTAAAAAATGGTTTTGCAAAACCACTGTTAAAAAATAATGGCATGAATGAGCCTTTTCTTAAACGGTAATGGCATAGATGAGTCAAACTTTTAACGAATGACATAAATGAGCCTTTTCTGAAAGTTCAATGGCATATTTGAGCCTTTTCCCTTTTCGAAATAAGGATGTTCTCCGATTTTTTATTTTATTTGTTCATTTTAATAAATTAAGGGAGTTTTATTATTTTTCTTCTATGCTACGTAAAACTTAATTAGTCAACTTATTTTTTTTTACATATAAATTAACAAAGTTTTTTTAATAAGAAAATTTAAAAATTGTGTCAAGTTAATATGAATCAAATAATATAAAACAAAGAAAGTAATAGATTATTTGATTGGCATTTAGTTTCATGTCATATACAATAATATGAACAAATATCTTACGCATTTGCCTCTCTTTATAAGAAAGTAATATAGGTGTGAAATTCTAAATTATTAACGCAATGTTTCGGTTCCTAAAAAAATAATGGATTACTAGTATAACTTTTCATTGTCATTTCCTTCTCATACTTTATGCGGGACATAATGTGAGAAAAAAAAATGATGTTACGAAAATTTGAACGCCTAATACTATATTATGAACAGTGAAATCTAAAATTAAGGAGAGAGAAGGAAAAATTTGAATGCTTAATAGTTAATATTGTATATTATTCTACCTTTCACACCTTTATATATATATATATATATATATATATATATATATATATATATATATATATATATATTATTATTTTTTATAACCGAGAAATCTGTATGTGACCTGCCCTTTGGATCACTTTCAACCTTCTAAACTCGATGGATAATGAGCCCGTCCCACTAAAATATCAGGCTTCGCTTTGTATGGTGTAGGGCTTGAACCTGCGACCTAAGCCACAAATCCTCCACCTTTAGATATTAATTCCTTGTATGAACTACCGTTCAATTTTCTAGTAGTTTCTAAAATTAGATTCAATATTTGCTATTGTTTTCCCTTTGTTTTCATGCTTTTAGTCCTAGATACATTAATTTCACAATACATTTTCATTTGATTTTGAGTATTGAAATTCTGCAATTTGATGTAAATGTGAGAACATTATTTACAATATACATAGTAACATCAAATGATTTTGAGATGTTTTAAAATGACTGACACTACTCAATTAGTAACATCATCAGATTCCTTTTATAACTTCCAAATTTTAAAAATGATATTTCCTATCAGAACTGTCGATTTAATGTGTATTCATTCACTACCACTTCAAGTAAGGCTAGTGCCTTGTTTGGGTGGTTGTTAACTGTAAGTTTTAAATATAATATTGTATGATATTCAAATAAATTCATCGTTAAGTAACAATAAAGAGTCTTATTTTGTGTAACAGCCGATTTGGTGTGGTCACATTGTTACCTTAATCCAACAACATACCCAGTGTAATCGTACGAGTGGTAGGTCCTTGGCTCAAAAAAGAAAGTATCCGGTGTAGTAATACAAATTGAATGAACAATGACAAATATGACTAAAAAAAACAATTATCCCAAAGGAAGCTAGTGTCTTTGAAGAGAACTGTTATCTCCGCTTTGAACCAAGACAACTTTTATGTTCAAATAACAATTAAGATGAAACAGGATCATGTAAGGAACGAAACGAGGAGCAACTCCCTAATATAGAGCTTTAGACATCAAGTAATCACAAATGAAAAGAAGCAAGATGCACTAAACCTTTTTTAAAAGCAGCAAAGATACACTAGAGCTTTCCCAAGATACTTTCTTCCCTACAACCAGTGATTATTGACAACTCAATCAAAAAGGTAGCTAGAATCCGCACATCAATATTACTAGAAGATTATTGCATTTGGAACCAAGTTATTTCAGTGCCCCCCACCTACCTCATCTCCTTCCTCAATAATCAGAAATGAAGCACAAAAATTAACTGCCATTACCAATCATGAACCAGCAATTGTGCCTCTTGTGATGAACCTCATTTCTAGTCGAGTAACAAAAGGCAAAAATCGACTCAAAAGAAATCCAGTAGACACCATGCCTAATGCAGAAGATCTATACATTCCTATTTGCTTCAGAATAAAGACCTACCCTGGAACTGGAACAAGAAAATAACTCCATCAAAGATACATGACACCCTCCCTTAATCTCTTCAGAAGTATTTCCACGCAGATACAAACCATGAATAAAAAATGGAAAGGAATGAAAAGATTACCCCTCTCATAACAAGCACATAATTGCATCACATGACAATATTTTTTATCACTTCAAATATTATTTACTTGCAGCATGAAATACATCTACAACAGTTGAAACTTTCAGAGAATGTGATTGCACTAATGTCTATGGCTCTATGCAAAGTTCAGGTTGGAAAAAAAAAGAAGTGGATGCAAGATATATAATTCTTCTACTATAGATTGGTGAATGGTCTATCGTGTAAGTTATTAGATCATCGGTGCAATTTGATTCTGATAGCAGTTTCAGGAGAAAAAAAAAGAAAATTGGTAATTGCAGTGGAAGCTAAGAAATGCTTACAGCTAGCCCACTCTACCACCATTACCATAAAAGCGAAGATCAAATACAAACTAGAACTTCGAATTCGAAGTTGACCAAGTCCCAACAGTAGTCACACTAAAGCAAAATCCTACCTGTTACTCATCAAAGGAAAGGAAAAGATATTATTATATGTCAAACTGTAGGAAGTGTCAAAGATCACTTAATCTTTCTTTCATAACTTCAGCACTTTTTTATGCCATCAAAGAAATCTACTGCTTCATCAAAACCCTCCCTTTGGAGGTAGATTGACATTACGAACACGGTCATGGATGGCAATCCACACTATCTAATGTCATTATTTTCCATTTCATCAGAAGTGGAGGATCAATAAACTCCAGAATGATTTCTTTCCGGGAAGGAAGCAACAAAAAGGTAAGATGGACTACAGTGATAAACAGTAAAAAGAGATGACAGCATGGTGAAGAAAACAATGAAAAAGAAAGAAAAAATCATTTGATGCCTCAGTGATTGATAACAAAATGGCTTGGTGTATTATCCTTCAGAAGGAATTGAAATCATTTGATGCCTCAGTGATTGATTACAAAGTGGCTGGGTGTATTATCCTTCAGAAGGAATTGTGAAAATTGGGAAATTAACAATATGACTGAACTTCAAAAAAAAGATCAAATTCGGTTAAGATTATGCTGAGGGGCCAGATTCAATGAAATGGAGCCATGGAGGTATCAGAAAGATGGAGAGCACTCTGTAAAATCTGGCTATAACTTTATTGGCCACTAGGGTGTAGAACATGCAGCTTCACAATAAATGTGGAACTTAAAGGGAACACCAAGGATATAATTATGATAAAGATGACTTGTAGAACAGAGACATAAACAGTGATTACTCCAGCTGGGCGGCATGAAAACAAATTATAAACCTCTAGGAAGAGTTTCAGGATGAAATTAGGACTGAAGGGTGGCACAGGAAGAAGATTAGAATGTGGGCAGATTGAAGGTCGGAATTGAGATTAGAATGTACGCAGATTAAAGATCAGCAATGGGAAGAAGATTATTATGTGGGATCTACATATCGTTAGAGAATGTTGCATTGGAAAGCTCTTTGCATGTCTAGACAGTCTGGTTGATGATAAAGTACATACTATCGCAGCATTTCTGAAATAATTAGAAATATATGGAATCTACGATTTCAAAGGAACTCCGATGACAAGAAAATAGAAGTGCGAATCTTATGGTTTAGAAACTGTAGAAAGTAGTACCAGAGGAAAAATTGAATGAATCCATACAATAGATTGGCAGAAAAGATGGGAAAATTCTCAATCGAAACATGCTATCAGGTAACACTTATGAAAGAGGACATATGAAGTGGAAAATTGGCCATGAAAAAATCATTTGGAAGACGGGCACCGGGCACCGGGCACCACCAAAAAGGCTTCTTTTGAACAAACTGCAGTACTTGGAGCTTGTTTAAACACACAATAATTCACTGATAAGAGGTTTTAATCGTCTAATAAAATCAGTCAATCATCTCCTTTTTCATTGCAGACAAGCAAAACAAGTATGGACTATGTTACTGAATTTCAGTGGATGATGCCAGGAGATATGACACAAGAGATTCCTTCATTGGCAAGAAAGAAGCTAGGAAAGAGACATAAAAAACTGGGAAGTCCTTACTGCGAGATCTCTCGCTCTCTCTCTTAGTTGGATGTGAAATCAGAAGATTTTGAAATTTCAAATTACGATTCATATTTAGTGCTTAACATGGTGAAGTCAGCGTGCACTTGGAGATTCAGTTAATATGAGAAGTTCCCCGCAACAAGAGAAAACAAATAACCTGGCAAGTTAAAGAGCAATCACTTAGGCAAACAAGATTTGAATGTTCAAGGAATGGAGACAAGGGATAAAAAATATTAAGTGATTTATTCTCATTTGGGCTTTGGTGGGCAGAGTTTCAAGTAATTGTGCTGGAAGGAGATACCAGGTATGCAGTGAAAGGACACCATTGTTGTCATTAAAAAAGTACATAGCTGTTTAACAAACATTTGTGTAACGTAAAATATTTTAGTCACTACTAGAAATTCCTGATTTGCTATCTGTCGAAGCCTACTTTGGCGGGCTTGCAATTACGAATTACCACTGTCTTGTGTTACTTATCCTAATATAAACCAAACGGAAAGAATAACTCCTAGCAGGGGTTATCAAAAAAAGAATAACTCCTAGCAGGGATGATCAAAGATTCTGAATTTTGTAACCTCCTAGGGAATCAGCTCAGTTGGCATTCAGAGGATTCATTTGGTAAGAGAAAGGAGAGAAATATAAGAAAAAGATAACTACGCAGCAAATTCAAGAGCAAGTGAAGTATTGTCTTATCAAGTGCCAAACTGAGTTACCGCGAAAAGCCTTTTGATATCCCCATGGCCCAGTCACATACTAATACTGGATAATATAGGGACTATCCACAAGTAACAACTTCAAACAGGATTATACATCGAAACACCACTAATAATTGATAAGAAAGTGTGTAAAGATAAGAAAGTATGTGTATAGTACACACACCACACATCAAAAGGTACAGATAAACACACATACCCAAACACTGAATTTGTTTCATTTGGGATAAAAGGGAAGCAGCACGGGATGAGTATTGTTTTCTGTATTTTCCTTCAAAACAAGAACACAAAAAACATCTCCTGACACACAGAGATTTTGCATCGTCAGCATACAACAAGTCAGCAGTAAATTGCAAACCATAAGCAGGACAGGGAAACTATAGTGATTAGCTTACCAAGTATCCTACCCAAATGATGAAATTATGGTCTAAAGAGCACAAAGGATAGACAAATTGTATCAGCAGATCTCACATATAATACATATACATCTCACAGAGTTATTACAGTAGTGAATAAGAGTGTAGCTAGTCTCATCGAATTTGCTTTTTAACACATTGAGATCAACAAAGAAACAGAACATCCCCAGCCTATACTCTAGACACGCTAGTCCTTAGAAAGGAGGCATACCTGTCCCCAAAGACCTGCACCTTACGTGCCTTTTCTTCTCATATGGTGCAAAACAAGAGGTGTTCCTTCAAATAGATCCAACAAATAACCTTCTAAGTCCTCTAGATAATACTTTATGTACTTCCCAGCATTTCTTCCACTCTCTAAATGACTCCCAAATCTTCCTAGAAATGAGCGATATGCAGGAAGCACCTTTTCAGAAATAGAAATCCTGAGTTCTTCGCGCAGTTGAGGATCTGGGACCTTCCAACCAGTCTGGATTCTGTAAATTTCTTCAAAACATGCGTTGAAGTTCTTAAACCTCTCCTTGAGGGCTACCTTTGAAGCATTGCTTGAGCTTCCGCTAAGTCCTTCGTCCTTCAAACAAGATAAAACCTTGCTCCATGAAGCTCTAAGATAGCTTGTAGCATGTTGTCGAATCTGACCCCTCCGCTTTCTGACCCACTGATCACCTAAAAGTTTTTGAAGCTCCGAATCTTTCACTTTCTGAACGATGTAATGTACATTATTCATCAAAAATATATACGGCATTCCACAATCTTCATACATTCTCGACTTCCCCTCCAGATTACCTTCCAAAGACTTGATCAGTAACATCAACCGCCTCGCCAGTGGTGCAACATTCTCCAACTCCAAGTTATCACCGTTATCAGTTGCGGAAGAGTCATGTTCCATGCAACTCTCTAACTTCTCTAAAAGTCCATTCAATGTATCACTATAATCAACCAGCAATTTAACATAATTCATAACATAACGAGTCAATGGATGGATTTCACCGCCTTGTGTTGGTTTCTTTGAAATCTCCCGCTCAACAGCATTTTCAAACTCCACAAATGTCCCAATAGCTGCTTCTCCTAGGCCATCTAACACCCCCTTTGACTCACCACACACCAATTCACCATCTTCATCACAAAAAAGCAGCTCTATGTCAGACAAAACATCTGCCAGGGCATCATACATATCCAGAATCCTAAATAACTTCTCCGACGACCTTCGCCCTATTGCCACAGCTTCTCCAAAATTCAAGAGCTGCATTACACAGCCCTTTGCAGTTTCCATAAAGCACACTTCTTTAATCAACTCCGAGTCTCCAAAAACCTGGTCACATAAGCTCTTTTCAGCAGATAGAAGAATTCTCACCAGAACTTTTACAGCATAAATCCATTTTTTCATTTTCTCATCCAGCGACTGCCAATCAATCCTATGGACCTCCTCAATGCTCAGTTTCTCAATGCCAAGAATTGCTAAACACTCGTCAAGCACCTCTCTGCGAACACTAGAGTACACCTGGCAACATTCCTTTTCATATCCAGATTTAATCATACGGTTAGCAATCTCTCTCAGATCAATTATAGCATCATTATATACCAAATCAAGGGAGAAATCATCCGTTCCAAGGCTCTTCCCTTTGACGTGATTGTACCTTGCACTGCTAACATCCTCCTGATCCTCGGACAAAGTACCTGTTTCAAAATCAGGAATTGCAACAGCAGATGAAGAGATAGAATAACGGCGAATGAAAGAGGACTCATGGAGACGGCCAGCATCGAAAGGAACAGTATTTCCAATGAGAACATGACGAAACTCCTCCTCCAAATGAGCCATAGCATGCTGAAGAGCAGCCTCAGCTCGGTCCATATCGGACGACAGAACATTCAGATCCTCGGTCTTCTTAATAATCTCGTCAACAGCGTTGAGATATTCAGAGGTGGAATCAGGATCGGCGTTAGGAGGAGAGTCCCATTCAAGCACAAGCTTCGCAGCCTCTTCAAACACAATATCAGTAGAGGAATGATCGGTTTCGGCAACGGCAGCAGCAGCAGCAGCTGATCTGGCGGATGTAGGAGTTGATGAAGATGAATTGGTGGTGGTCATCATATTAGAGAGCTTAGATAAACGATTATCAAAATTAGATAAAATCATAAGCATATCTTCAGTATCAACATTTGTAGAGGTATTGAGACTCTTGACGATCTGTTGAGCTGCTGCAAGAACCCTATCTTGTCCTTCAATAGTCGCCGCCATGAACCCTTCTCTCTCTATATCTATATGTATGTATAGGATTGAATTGAGAAGATATATATAAGTATTTGTATAGAGAGATTTGGGGAGAGGGGTTTTGAGAATTAGGGTTTGGGGGAGAAGGGAAGGAAAGAAGGAAGAAATGGGGATTTTTGGGGAAAATCAATTCAAACGTTGATTGTTGCGTTCCATTTCTGCTGCGTGCGTGCGTGCGGGGCGGGGCGGGTATTTCGTTAGACGCATTGGGCTATTGCCTTCGTCCTTCCAAATTCCATGATGATAAGAAGAAAAAAAGAAAATACCAGAATACGGTATATGTTACGTCAACAATGGAGGGATGGGTTGTACATTATGATGAGTCATGTTATGTAAATGCCCGTTCCTTCGTTTATTTTTACTTGTCAAATATTTCTTAATTTGATTTTTTGTTTTTACTTGTCATTTTTTGACAAATCAAGAAAGTACAATTTTTTTCTTTCTATTACAACCTTAAGTTAATGTCTATAAAAAATATAGCGAATAAATATGTTTGGAATCCTATCAAATAATATGGGTAAAATGATAAACTCACTATACTAATTATTATTTTCTTAATAGGTGTTTCAAGTCAAAATTTAACGAGTAAATCTGAATGGAGGGAGTAGTACTAAAAATTTAGGGTGGATTTGACATAGATCTAATTTTTCAATGTTTACAACAACAATATGTTTAGTGTAGTTTCATAAATAAAATTTGAAGAGAGTAGAGTGTATGCAGATTTTATGTTTATTTCGTGAAAATAAAGAAATTATTTTCGACAGACCCTTACTTAACCCTTATTTAAGTAGCGCACATCAAATTATAGCAAATAATAGGAGAAGCATGGCATAGTGTTTTAAAAAAAAAAAAAAAAAAAGGATCAAATAATGTGTGCTTCTACGTGATCGAAGCACGGAGAACAACGAGTAACATTGATCAATAAGATAGACAACAATAAGAAAATGGCCTACTATGACTAGTATAAAGATATAGTGCACCAAATTATCTGAGTCTATCATGTTAGGAAGCGAGATAAAGCTTAACTGTCTATTTAATTTTTGATTGATTAAATTTTTTATAATTTTTTTAATATGTAAAATGACTTTACTTGTGGGAGTACGAAAAATAAGTTTTATAAATCACATTTCATGTTGGTAGTTGATTATCTCCTTTGTATGAACTATGACCCCCGCTCCCCCACTCATGATCCTCCAAGTCTCCACATTTTTCTTTATAATATTCCAACTTATTATAAATAAGAAGAATAGTTTTACTAATTTACCTTTTCTAATTTATTTATTTATTGACCCTTTACAAACTTACGTGACTTTTAAAATGGATTAATTTTAAAGGTAAAATAGAAAAAATATAGTTTATTATATCTTGATTTATGAATTAATAAGTAATTTAGGACAATTATTTATAATAATATGAACAATTAATCTGAAACGAAGAAAATATACTAAATATATAAAAAAATTTCATCGAAAATAATAAAAAGATTGGTAAGTAAAATATATTTATAAGAGATATTTGAAGGGTCATATTCAATCTTTTCGTCTTGGTTGTTCTATTCAATCAATTGGAATTTATAGTTGAGAAGTCAATTACGAAGCCTCTTATATGACTTTCTAATCGAGGAAATATAGTTTAAGCAGTCAAATCATATTTTTTAAGTATACTTAAGTCTCTTCAATCAAAAATAGTTATGATTATCTTACTATTTTTTTTTTAGAATCATTTAATTCGCATTTTAGAATTTTGAGATTAATTTATCATATTTGAAAGGTTCGATAAAATAATACCTAATTTGATTTAAAATAGAAATTTATGATTTATCAAAACTATCCCTCATAGGTATGGTCTAAACTTAAGAGCCTATTTTAATTGACTTAAACATTTATCAAACTTATTTTTAACTCAATTTTAGTTTTAATTCTGCACAATTTGGTTAGTTTATAATGAGATCAATCTAGTGGATCACAATTAGTGGTTGATTGGCATATGTGAAATTTTATTCTATAATTAAGATTCCCATTTGTCCAATACCAATAAAAGTAATTAAAATATAAGATTAATTAGTATGTCATAATCTAGTTGTACTTATTTAATGATCTGAATTATTTTCGTCCACCAAACCGAGTACATATCCATTTGTGAGGTCAAATGATTTTTGGCAGTCCTATACTTCTTTAAAAAATATATATTATTAGGATTGGTATGAGAAATTATAGAAGTTATTAATTGTGTGAATAGTATTAAAGTTATTAATTAATTGTGTCTTAATGTTCAATTTAAATGGATTTTTTAAATTAATTGTGTAAAGATATCTAAGATCATATTTATTTGCACTTAATAATTAATAAATATATATATTACAGTAGTAATTTAAGCTTTAATCGTTAAATGCATTTATTTTTATTTCGTGATATTAGTAAATTTGAATGATTAAGACTAAACAAAATATTATAATATTATTAAGAAGTTATTCATTCAAGATTTCACTAAAAATATATCTCACCGCTGCTCCATCCACTTTTGTCACTAATACAACCACCAATATAGAACACCATCATCTACCATTATCAACTATTACCACCTAGTGCACATTACTATCGTCCTCAACAACAGTCACTATCGTGATCAACCACCACAATCAATTATCACCATCATTTACCGTCATCATCCTCAATTATAAACCTATAACCATCACCACCATCAATCAATTATCACCATTCACTAGTCATTCTTTATAATTATCATCACTAGTCATTCTTTATAATTATCATCACTAGTCAATATTTACAATCATCACTACTATAGTGCATAACAAAAAATCATAGAATCCTAATAGTTAGTGTACGAAGTTTAGTATAAAGCAGAATTTGCCAATTTATTCATAGTCTAAGGACCTATTAAATCAGAATCACTTTACTCTTCTAAACACATATCTTTTGAAATCCATTATGTCAGCAAACCAAACATAGAAACATTAAAAAACAGACAACAGTAGAAAAAAAGCCTTTGCATTTCTTTCAATTTCAAGAGTACCAAGAAGTGTCTTGTGTACACGAGAGGAATCTACTTGTAAAAAACAACCCAAAATTACAAGAAACTCATCCTGCAAGAAAACAACCTAAAATTTAAACAAAACTTCACACATGTTAAACTTATTAAGTTCATTAGGGAAGTAAAGGATCAACATAAAGTTCTTAAAGTTAGGACTTAGGACTTAAACCCTGCTATTTGCTGGCAATGGCAAAACACCATCAAAGAAATCACCAAAGTAACCACGCGGTTCGTGTACTAGCTTTGAGATTATGTCTCTGAGTGTGATTACCCCCTCGAGATTTCCCATGTCATCGACAACGTAGATCCTGTGGATCTTCTTCGAATCGAGCTTCATGATGACGTCTTTAAGGCTGTTACCTCTTCTGCAAGTAACCATGTGGCTTAAGAACGGGGAGTTCTTTTCGTGCTCCCCCTGATACTTTCTAACAGATGTCAGGAAGTTCTTTGCTGTTATAGATCTGCAGAGTGATGACAACCAGTTAGGGAATGAGGATGATTTTCTTAACTCATGGTACTTGTAGTTTATGACTGAAATGAAATGATACAATTGTTTGATCGTTCACAAGATGTGTGATCCAATGAATGTCATGACACGAGATGTGCTTCAGCGTGAAATGTGAATTATAAGGAAATCAATTTCACATGATTGGTTCAGATTCAATAAAAAGAACGAACAAAGACAAAACGGAGGACTTAAAACAGATTGTAGGCTTAAGATGAATATATGCAATTTAAAACATATTTAGATTTAGCGATTACACTATGTCTAGAGAAGTACGTAGTACTGCTTCCTTTTCACATGACAGACATGAAATTATATTATTAGCTATGTGTGTTTTATTAAGTTGTTGTGAAACATGTAAAACTATAAAGGTCGAAGCAACCTGTAGTCTTTGTAAATTTCGGGAGCAATCAGCAGGAACTGAATATCTCTGATGCTTATATTACCAATAGCTTTCCTGCCACCACTTTCGACCACGGGGACTCCTCCAACACCATTCTGTCTCATCAACTTGAATGCCTGCAGCACTGGTTCATCCTCATCCACCTGAAAGCAGAACAAAAATAGAGTTACGAGGTTATAAAATGCACAACACAGATGTGTTAAAAGAAAAACTTGGCTGCAGAGTTGATGAGTTTTTGAATTAAAAGAAAGCAACAATAATAAGCATCAAAACATAGAATCTTGTGCAAGTGGCTGGTTAGGTGCTAAGGCTATCAGCCAAAAAATACTAATTGTGATAAAACGAGAGGGCTACAATTAGCAAAAACAATGAGATTTTAAACTATTTGCTTGCAGTCAAGCATGTCCAACAAGACAACATAGAGTTTCATCCTCTACGGGCTATTATTAAAGACTGCAGATGCCTACTCGAAGTCAACAAGGCGAACACTATCTACATTTGAAGAGAACCAACCCAGTGGGCAGACTATATGGCAAATGAAGGTCACAGGAATGAAACATATTTGTTTATATGGGAAAATGCTATCAAGGAAATAGAGATTTTACTCCTGGCAGATTTAAGCAATTTTTACTCCTGTCAAGCTGATATGCTGGATCATAAATCACAGTGTACAAAAAGCAAATATTTACCCAAAGCAGAATCAGCTACTCACCACGTGATTGTTAGTGGATCATCAGTGGTGCAGCAGCCAAATTAGGGGGCACAGAAAAGAAGAGAATGAAATGAAACAAAAATGGAGAGAACTTGTAAAAGCACAAAGAAAACATCTAAATCAGTCCATCCATCAGGTAACCATTTGCAGCAAATATGTACCAGAACTAAGCACTCTAAATTTTTTTGGCATACTAACTTCAAGCATTTCGTGTAACCAAACACATGAAGAAATAGAAACCAAGGAATTTCAAAATTGAAGATCTTTCAGCAAAATTTGCAATCTGATGAACCCGATAAAAAATAAGTCAACAAAATAGTATATGTTC